CCCCCCCCCCCCGATATAGCTGAAAGAAACCCTGGTTGGGAGTCAAAATGTATTTTAATTGAAAAATGACATTCTAATGGCAAAAAGTTAGTTTGAAATGCCACAAAATTTTTATCTTAACTTATGTAACTAATTGCAGAAGTAAAAATGTTACTGATAAATGTATCACTACAATGTATATGGTTGCTTACTACAGTCTTGTACAAGATAATTGTTTCATTAGCTTTTATCACACAAATGAGATAAAAGCTAAAGTTAACCACAATTCCATTTGCTACACAAAATTGTTGAAAATGACATGAATAAGGCAACAAATAGCAGCCTGAAAAAAGACATATTGGATACCAATTTAAAATCAATTAATTTAATTTTCATAGCTCTTCTCCATTGATGAACACCTTCAATAATACATGTTTTTAAATAAAAATGACATTCATTAACTTTGATTCCATGTTAGTCAAGAGCACTTCAATCTAAAATTTGTTTTTTTCTGTCCTTTACAACTTCCCCATATCCTAGAAAGTTGAAATTCTACAGGATAATTCATCTCATCAATAGTGTTATTCTCTCAAAATTTTGATGGATCATCAAATAACAATATCTATAAAAATAGTAGGCTAAATATTTTATCTATTTCTGTAGTCAAAGTTTAAGAGACCCAGGAAGTAGCTCTGATATGATTAACCCATAGAACTTTAGCTTAAACTTAAAACACTGGAGTTTTCATGTTTTTGAAATTAGAATTGAAAAGCAACAGTACCTGAGAATCAACCTTTTCATTCATTTTAATAATAATGTGACATGTCATTTGGCAAAACAGCATCTACAACACTATAGCCCAGAATTGTATTGAAGGATAAAGCTATCCATGTTTCCATAGAAATATTATTAATGATCAAAGTCAGTTGTGCTGCCTGTTAAATAATTCAATCTGATGGAATTCATTAAAGAAATATTAAGTGATGTTTTGTAATTTGAATGAAAAATCATCCTGGTCTGGATTTTGCAGTCCATTAAACTACTGCAATAGCAACCACTATTTAAAAATAACTTTAATTGCAACATTCAAAATGCTATATACTATATATGAGATTGTCTTTACAACTCTGGAAAGATAATAAATAAACAGAGAGTGATGTCAAACGACTGGAATTAAGCCAATTTTTTTCAACTATCATTCACTATAGGTTCGTCCATGCCATCAACTTCATGTACCAAAGCTCTTTCAAGAATCACACGTCCTTCTTTATACCTCTGATTGTCTTCTGTGGCAAACTCATAGATCCATCCCAATTTAGAGTTGCATGACTTACACGAAACATCTCGTACCATATGCCGACCTGTTAGCATAACACGATCCTGGACTTCACTATAATGTAGGTTCACTACTTTGTTAAAAAGGAAGGCTCTTCCTGTGGCACCTGATGAAAAGAGACAAAAAAATAATAGTTACCAATGCAAGTTCCAATAAAATAAAATATTTAAATTTGGTACTTTTAAAGTATTCCAAGTAGTTAACCTTAAGACTGATAATTCACTATCGTTACTATCAATCATTACTATCAAGAAAAACAATTCTCCAACTTCAAGACATATGAAAAAAAAGTTACCAGTAAAGCGAGTGGAAATCAGCTCTGCTCTGTTAGTCAAAGCTATATTACAGTTGCCACAAGTGAAAAGACGAGAACCACCAATGTGTTGGAGAAATATTCTGCCCATAGTTGAACTTTATTGAATGAAAATACTAGAAATATAAAATTGATATTATTAATAGTTATATTCATATTATTACAGTATTATTAATACAGTTCACTCAAACAGTTGAACATCATGGAAATAGAATTCATAATATGAAATATATCAAATGTGAATTAAACAGGCAATACTATGACAAGATGAATATGCCAGTGATTTGTTTTAATTCACTTACCAACAAGTTACAGCAGATACTTTTCTATACTCTGCTACTCCTATAATTGTTAGACCACGACACGAACCCCCTACAAAAGCAACAAAGCATCTTTGAAATTAAAAAAAACAAATTCTGTAACTTATTATTAATATTGCATAAAATTAAATGTAAGTGAAGAAACAAAAAATATTTATAAATATTTATATCATATATTCTCACTTCTCCTCACACCCCCTGCAATACCAATTCACACACCCAGGGGGATGCTCGCACCCCAGGTTGTAGAAGCCTGCTGTTCAAAGTGAGCTATATGACAGCAAATGTTAGTGTCAGTCATCAGTCAGAGGAATAAAAATATAGGCCCCACTTAAAATTTTAAATTCTAAGTAAAATGATTAAAATTTTAGTTAAAAGCACAAGGCTAAAATAGCCAGTATGTAAGGCAAAATCTTGATTTTCAGATGGGGCTCAGGTCCAGGTAAATCTTAGAATGGAGAGTATTAACAAACTGAAACTGTGTCATTATGTGATCTGATTGTCACTGTCACAGCCTGATTATCTTACTTGTAAATTTGATTTATCATTTTTGTATGAATATGGTATAGCATTTCTGCACAATATACGGCCGCCAGCACCCACTTTACAGCCCGCGAAGTAACAAAATATTCTTTATTCTTATTATTTTCTTATTAAATTAATAGCTTTCCCCCTGTCCTATTTTCTTTGGCCCCGCACAAGTTTTCATTATGGCCCGCATTACATTTTGAGTTGTGCAGGCCTGTGGTATAGTAGAGTATACAGTTCATAGTCAAACTGATACTCGACCATCATTGTCATATGATGATTAGTGATTAGATATGACTCAAAATAAATAAAAAATATTATAATTATTAGTCACTACCACTTACTAACCTACTACAAATTACAAATATGAATAATTTTTAGATATTTAGCCTAGCCCTAATTTACCCCATAATTTTTATTATTATTATGTCAAAATCATAATAATCATTCTAAATTATACTATACTATCATTCACAGTCATTGGCATAATCAATAGTTGTAGTTGTAGTCTTCAGTTCTTTTTTTAGTTTAACTGAGTTCAGACTAACAGAATTATTACTACTAATAACATAGACTATACTGTACTATACTAATACTACAGTTACAGTCTAAGTTAAAGTTCTAGATAATCAATATTTGTAACAAATAAATGGTTATTTTTTAATGACTAGAAGACTAGAACTTAGAATTGTACAACTAGTACTTATAATTATACTTATACTATACTAAAACTAAATATGTACTACTACTAAACTACTACTACTAATTACTAATGACTTGTCAAACCACAATCTCAATAATCTCATGAAGATTGACCTGGCTTCAAGAAAACTATTCGTCTTCACCTATTTATCTACGATGTTCGTTTGAAATTAAAACTTCAAACAAAGAAAAAAAACCTCTACAGAATTTCGCGAATCTTTCATATTGTGTTTGACTGAAGTAAACCAAAACATTACCTTGACGTCAGCACAGCAGCCTTGTGAGGTCAAGTGTAAAGTTCAGAGGGAAAGGGCGGGGTTTCGAGCATGCGCAATGCTAATAATAACAACACATTTCCTGTTCATTCGTCCGAGTCCCAGTGCCCAGTGATTTTGGGAGTGAAGTGTGTAGGAAGAACTCCACCTGGATTAGTCAAACTCTATCCGAAGGGATTTAAATTTAAGTTATATACACATATAATAGTTAACATAACAGCCACCATGTTGCGGTGGATGTCAGACGACAGTAAGCGTAAAAAGGAACCAGAAGTGTTCGACAATGTTGTTGAGGGACTCAAGAAAATTTATAGAAACAAGCTACTCCCACTGGAGGAGACATATAAATTTCACGATTTTCACTCACCACCTTTAGATGACCCAGATTTCGATGCCAAACCAATGATTCTTTTAATCGGTCAATATTCTACCGGTAAAACAACATTTATTCGATATCTTCTGGAACAAGATTTTCCTGGGATCCGAATTGGTCCAGAGCCTACTACCGACAGATTTATAGCTGTAATGACGGCTGAACAAGAAGGTGTAATACCTGGAAATGCTCTTGTGGTTGACCCTAAAAAACAATTTAGACCCTTAACGAAGTTCGGAAATGCTTTTTTGAACAGATTCCAGTGCTCACATATGAAAAATCCTGTTTTAGACAGTATTACAATTGTGGATACACCTGGTATTTTGTCAGGAGAAAAGCAAAGAGTTGACAGAGGCTATGATTTTGCTGGAGTTCTAGAATGGTTTGCGGAGAGAGTTGACAGAATAATTTTATTATTCGATGCACACAAGTTGGACATTTCAGATGAGTTCAGAAGAGCCATTGAGGCCATAAAGGGGCATGATGATAAAATCCGTATAGTTCTAAACAAAGCTGATATGGTTGATCATCAGCAGCTAATGAGAGTTTATGGTGCTCTTATGTGGTCTCTTGGAAAAGTTTTAAATACACCAGAAGTTGCAAGAGTATATATTGGGTCATTTTGGGATCAACCGTTACAATTTGACATGAATAGACGCCTCTTTGAATTAGAGGAGCAGGATTTATTTAGAGATCTACAGCTGTTGCCAAGAAATGCTGCTCTAAGAAAGCTGAATGATCTTATTAAAAGAGCAAGATTGGCAAAGGTGATTAATAATGTTACTTAAAAAATCATCAGCATTCTGCAAATTAGTTTCTGTTTAACTTAACAAGATCCTTTTCACAATAATGCACTAGTTTCATAGATGTAATAGTTCAATTTCTTTTGCTTTGTGACACTTGCTTACTGTGGGAAATTAACTGTTAACTATGTTATAATGCCATACTGTTAATACCCCTTTCCACAACCAAGAGTTAGCAGATTTGAAATTGTCCTGGGCTGTACTCAGACATGGACTAGGAATAACCCAGTAGACTGTAAAATAAGTTTTTAATAAACTCTCCAGTTCAGCAAGCCAGGTTAAATTGGGGTAAAAAAACAACAGTTCAATCTAAAAAATTTGGAGAAAGCAGGCAACTTGGAATTCACTAGAAATCTGGTGTTTACACTTTCTCAACACACACATGACATAATAATACAGGTAATTTAAAAAGTGGCCAGTGTCATACTAAAATTAAGGGAAATAGACCATAAGTTCAAAAGAACAAGGCAGAGTTCAGAGTAACATTATTTGTTTTACTTGTTCTGCATTGTTATTGTTCTTCAACCGGGTGAATATCATTGATAATACATATTTTTCTTAGATAAAGTATTGTATTTTAGTTATATGATCTGGACTTCAAATTTAAGTCATCAGATTTTCTCCCCATCTTTTAAATTCTTTAAATTTACAATTTATTTCAATACATTTAAAACGTTTTTTTTTGGTAGTAAATCACTAACAATGAAGTTATAAACTATATACAAATACAGGGTCTCAGCAAAATGCACTTACACTAATCATTGACTAATGATTTATTCAAATGATGGAATTTTCATTTACTATTCATGCATATTCCTATCAACAAGGCTTTTTAATTTTTTAATAAGTTTTTGAGGCAGTGATCTAAAAATTACTTTTGAGATTAGTTCTATTTCATTTATTTAATGGTTCAAAAGAATCATTTTTTAAATATATTTTAGTTTTGACAAATTTAATAGTCCCTATCTAGACTTTCAGTAAAAGTGGAGCAACTTTTTATTGACAGCATTATTGATTTCAACCTTCCCCACCCCTGTGTAGTTAACACAATTATGTTAAAGTGGTTTCTTTCATGTGCTCTTCTGACTATATAGAAATTATAGGCTTAAATTAATACCCTGCTAACAAATCAGACAGCTGTAATACTATGAACTTTCAATGCTTAAAAATTACAACTCCACTGGCATTTATATGGGTTGCCTGTGCCAAATGTCTTGTGCTGGTGACTCATGATTCGTATTACTTTGTTAACCCAAAAGTTATTTGAAGTACTTATAATTTCACCTGTTTAAGTAACAAACATCTAATAATTGAATTGTGTCTAGTATTTATAGACAATAATTTAAATACAAATTTAGAGCTAAAAATGTTAATATTACTTATTCCCCTGATCATTTTTTCATAAAATCAATACAATTCCTGATTAAAAAGTCAAAATTTAAATAAATATGTTTTTGAATGCATAAATTAATATATAACAGTGCTTCATAATTTTACATCTTGATGAACATAGGTAGACAATTTAATTATTTATAATGAAATGTATTATATTTGTTATAAAAAGAGTTATAAGTTTACAATAACTCAAAAAGTAATTTTCAATGAAAGTAAAATTACAAACAGCTGTATGTGAGAATGACTCAGACACCTGGGGTTGCACATGCTTATGCTGCCTGCATCTGTTACCACTAGGTGGGATTTAGCTCAGAGCTGAAACTAGGTGAGGTTTAATATACTAGAAGTTAAAAATGCTATAAAGAAATATTAACATTTAAGATTTTAGTTCCCATTGTTGTTTCTTTCACCCACTGACCCATATAAAAAAAACAAAAACATCCAGCCAGACTGTTTGTGATAGGAATAGAAATAAAATAATGCAGGTACATCTGTAAGCTATGTCTGAAGTAGTGACAATAATGCATTTTGTTTTGAATCATAATATCAGTCACCTGATTGTGTAATTGTAAATATTCAATAATTTTGGTGTTCTATGTAAAAAATGAGTAAAACATTTTACAAAGCTTGGAGTGAGGATTAAGATACTCTTTGGATAGAGGCGGTTTAAATTTTGTATTTTAAATATCAATTTTAACATTTGGTTCAGTTTACTGTCTGATTCTTGTAAAGTTTTGTGATTATTTCTTTTGAATACAAACAAGAAATTTAAAATATTGTTCAAACATGACTCTCCCGAATGCTGCAGCGTTGTATAACAGACCAGAATTAGGGCACTTCTTTTTGTATTCTTAAAATTGCCTGGTAGGGTGAGAAGCAGAAATGTGTATGTGGACAATATACACTGTTGGCTTAAGAACTTGATATGCATGACATATATCAGATGAACAGCATCCTATGTGTAACCTGTCACTACTTACATTTGTCTCTGTTAACTGATACCTAAGTTTAGTGGTATACTAGTCCAAATGCAAGATGTGAACAAATACTCTTTATTTTATTTTCATTATTGATTTAGTGAAAACTTATTCTACATATTGTTTTGTGTTATGTATTATGTTTTTCTTTTATATTTTAGTCCATGTATTATAGCCATAAAGGTGGCACAATTTAAACAATAATCATAATATAGTAATTTACGAGCTCTTTAATAAACATTTTCACAATCTCCAGTTTTGTTTTATGATTATCCCTAGTCACAATAAATTAAACATTTATAAATGAAATCTTTTTTTCCTCTCCTTTTTTCATGAATTTATGAACTTTACTTATAATCATAATGATAAAACATACTAATTAATCTTGTTTTTATTTCGTTGTCATTTCATTAGCTTGTAATGCTTTTTCTCCAGGTGCATGCCTACATTATAGCCCAACTAAAGAAAGATATGCCCTCTATGTTTGGGAAAGACTCCAAGAAGAAAGAACTGATAGCTCGTTTACCTGATATCTTTGCCCAGTTGCAGCGTGAGCATCAGATTTCCCCCGGTGACTTCCCCAACTGCAAGAGAATGCAAGAGCAGTTGCAGCACCAAGATTTCACCAAATTTCATCAGGTACTTTTTAGTGATTTAAAAAATATTTGTACAATATGTTATTAAATTAAAAAAGAATGTTAAAAGAAAATTAAAAATTGTCATTATTCAAGATATATTTGGGGTGGCTATTTGATTACATTATACTACTTAAAAGATAGCATGGTATCAATTAGAGATGAGAATCGAACCGAAGTCAAACCCAGCTAACCACACCAAAACGGAACCTGAAACTTTAATGACACTGATTATGAACCTGGTGTAAAATGATTACAACTGACCATGTTTTGTGAATGTGGCACATCACCACTTAATGACAGAAATGCTTATATTTTAAGTATACCAGTGACCCATAGCAAAGTGTTTTTTGTTTGTTTGTTAAACCACAATGTTTTTATCACAAAACATACACCCCATTTGGCAACAAAGGCTTGATTTGTATTAAGGCAATGTAATTAAACAAAAAAATTATGTAGCAGACTCTTTTTCATCTAGTGTCGGCAGTGTATGATTCAAAAACAAAGAATTAGATAAGTCAATTTTATTTATCTATCAGTCCAACAATTGACTATGCCTAGATGATGTGAGATGTGCCTGAGAATTCTACAAAATAAACAAGAAACACAGAGGTGCTGCAACAGATCAAAATTTATGAAAGATGATAGAATGCATTCAATGCATTGGTTGTTTTAGCCTGCGCCCTTGTTTTAAAAAGCCAAAACCTGTTTAAAACCATATTTCTGAAACCGATAAAAGTTACATCCCTAATTATTACCGAACCCAAACTTAAATCTGCTACGCAATGAAACCGAACTGCTACAAGACGGTTCGATTCCCATCTCTAGTATCAATATGTATTTAAATGAAAGTACCTGGTAATAAAATTACTGATGTTCTGATTAGGTTCTCCTGCAAATGAAATTTAGGGGACAATGTAACTCTGTAGCTTTATAAAACATTTTTGTATGAATTTTAAAATTTTACCCCTTTTATAAAAGGAGAAAGCTCTTTAAATTTCTTCAGTTATTTGATAATGGGGGAGAATTTATATGTGGCTGGGTAATATCTAAAGGAATAAGGAACACATGCTATTAATGTCACAGCTGTTGGTGACCCCAGGCATGTACACTCGTTATTAATTTAAAATAGCACAACGATGTGCATGGGGCAATAATAATAACCTCCTGTTAGGTCATGCATGCATGGCTAGAGACCACGCCTGACCAACATTTGTCCAGTGACCAACGGGTGACACTGGCATCATGGTTTCTAAGTGTGTACTATGTAAGGCAAGTTCGATATAACCCACTCATTTTGAATTGATAGAGACAACTGGTAGCAAGCAGCATTAGTTCTTAGTCAGCTCACCAGCCTTTATGACTGCTTCATATTGTCCTTTTTCTTTCACTTTCTCTGCTTTTACCATACTCTTTAAACTTAAATCAATAAAAAGCTATGATTGTCAGGCCCTGAATTTGAGTTTTTAAGTAAATATATATATATATATACTGTCCGTCACTCACCACTCGGCTACATATAATTTTCACTTTTAAAATTTATTTATTTATGCTTTAAATTTATTGAAACATAATTTATTTTACCTGATCGGGCATATCAATGATGCAATTTTGAGACAACATAAATAAGAAAAATATGCCTGCTTTAAGCTTAACTTAGTCTATGATTCGGAAATCTATAAATACTTACTTGTTTGAAACCAATTGAGGAAGTTTAAAGTTTTTATAAACAATTATTTTTGCTACTCAATGAATGAATGATTAACTATCTGCCCACAGATCAAGCCCAAACTCCTAGAAGTTGTTGATGCAATGCTCGCATCAGACATTGCAAGACTGATGCAGATGATTCCAGCAGAGGAGATTGAGATGTCTCACAATGAGCAGGCCAATGGAAATATTCACGGTGGTGCCTTCGAAGGCTACACTGAAAGTCCATTTGGTGTAGGTCGTGGTGAGGGCGTAGATGCGGGCCGTGGTGAACACGAGTGGGTGGTCGAGTCCAGCAAGTATGAATACGATGACTCATTTGCCAAGCTGAACCCCATCAACGGTAAAATCTCAGGCGCTGCGGCCAAGTCAGAGATGGTCAAATCAAAGTTGCCCAATACAGTGCTTTCTAAAGTGTGGAAGTTATCAGATATTGATCGTGACGGGATGCTTGATGCAGATGAATGGGCCCTGGCTAACCATCTTATTAGGATCAAGTTGGAAGGTCATGACCTTCCCAACACTCTGCCAGATCACCTGATACCACCTTCAAAGAGGGAAGGTGTGGCAGCACTAGCTTCCTAAGCTAACATTCATTGACTGTCATCAGGATTCTCAAAAATTGGTGATGTTTTTATTTCTATTACTTGAAACAAGGAATGAGCCTATGGGATTAGAGAGTAACTCAAAAAGGGTTCAAATAATACAAATTGACCTTACATAAAATTGTGCCTATTTATATACACTTTATTTGTATTGTGTAAATCGGAAAGTATTTGGTAAAAAAAAAAATCATATTTTTAGAATGTGAAAAACCAGGTTAATTTAAATACATATATTAATTTTTATTTAGACGGGATAAGAATTGTGTATTAAAACAGAAATTTAGTTTTTGTTTTGTATAGATATCTATGTATAGTCCATTATCTTTGACTCATGTAAACAATGGCTGTATTAAAGGAAGCATCATCAGCATTATCTTCTGAGTTGTCATTTCTGAATTTGTAAAGATTTTGAGTATTTAGAATAAAAATATTTTTTGTTTGCAGTAGAGCCTTGATTACATCTAGATATTATTTGAAAAATACTAATTTCCATTACGCTGTGGCATGATAGACCTTTAAAATCAGTACAGGTAAACCAGCTTTTGGAAATTTTTCATGGAGGAAAGTAAACAGTATTTATTTTATCATTGTAGAGTCTAGATTGCTGAATATTTTGATAGCACTTTTGATTAGATTATTTATATAGTGATGTAATCAAAGGATGAAAATGAGGCCCTACTGCTATTAATATTATAAAATTTAAAACTCCATTGTTTAAAATTGTTTTATTCAAAATGAGTTGTACTTCATATTTCTCTGTAACATAACCTATTAATGTTTATCTCACTGTACATGCATATTATTGTTGTTTTTTTCCTCTTTCTTATACATAATATTTTTGTACTTTGCTTGTTGCATTACAAACTCAGTTATTTTATTGTCATAATTTGGTTAGTTTAATTCTTCATCTTTAGTTTCAGTCAGTTTCTGAACCATGATTTAACACAAAAAATATTTTTTAAATGGTCTATTTCAATGATTGTTTTGTATCACTGTAGTTAAGTTTCTTCCGAACCCAAGTCTACTTAAAAAATACACATATAGCCATGGGTTTTTCTTGTTTATTTTCTATTCCTACCATTTAGCTCTAACAATAAACTGAGGTCCATTAAAAGGTGTTAATGAGAATTGTTTGTTACGTATTTATCATAATAATATAAATCTCCGAATCATGCAAAAATATTTCATTTTAATGTATCTATTATATATTCAAACATAGCTAAACACACATAATATAAATCTATTATTTGTCCAATGTATATAAATTGCAATAACAAAAAAAACTAACCATGGGCTCTTAGATAACCTTAAGTTTTATTTTTTGTGTTGGGAATTAAAAAATATGTTTGTTCATAGTCACATGCAGTTTCAGTGATCTATATTGAGTGTCCTTTAAGGAATAAAAAGTGATTGCTTATAATTTGAAGTGAATTTCATTCTGTAACTCTTCAAATTCACTGTTTTTTTAAAGTACCTAACATATTGTTATAGAAGTATGTTTGTTAAATATCCAGATCCTGACATAGCTACACAGCAATAGTATTAAGTTGAAAATACAACACTGTTTCATTTGGTGGGTCCAAAAAAAAGAAAGAATATGCAGATGTGTCAATTAAATACATTCTCTCCTCATGAGAGGTCTCCCCCCCCCCCCCCCCCCCCCAACCTCCTCAGTATCATCCACAACTGACTTAAATTATTCAGTATTATGGACACTTGTATTTGTAGCCATATAAACTCTTTGGTAGAATTTTAATTAATTTAATAAATTTTACAAATTAATTTACCTTCTGTACTTGCTATTAAAAATGTTGATGACCTGCTAGAATCTTAGCTTCATAGTTTATGTATTGAGAACATCTCTTACGGCAGCTGTGGAGACCCTTTTAATGCCTGCCTGTAACATCATTTTTTATTTTAACTAACAAAATTTTTTTATCAGAATAAGACTTGTCTGTGACACTTTCCCCTCCATGTGCACAATTAGAATAGTCTACTTAGTATCTTAAAACGCGATAGGTTTGGTGTAAGATTTCATCTTCATTTAACGTTACAAGTATAACCACTCTGTATTGATGTCTTTGCTGACTTATTAAAACAAAACATGCTAACAATGGTTCTATTTTGGGGTTGCTCTGTATTAATGTTTCTCACGTGGTTTGTGTTTATAATTAACACTTTGTAGGTTTTGAACTAAAATAAAAATTAATTATTTCTGCTTTACTATTTCTAAATCTATAATTGCAACATCTTTGTTACAAATACTTGTACATATAATTTTTAAATAATTTTGTCCACTAGATGTAAAGGAGAAGGCTGCTAAATAAACTGATCCTTATGAAATGAAAGCTCAGTTATGATTTTCAGGGCTATTGCAGTTCAAATCACACTCTGGCTGGGATGAAATAAAATATTCTAGATTTGGAAAATTTTAGAACTTGTAATGTCTTAGAATCAACAATAGAATACATCATAATACATGAGCGAGGTTGTTAAATTCATAGACTTGAAATTAACATTGGACAAGACCGAAGTTATCAATGATACTCAATTAAAATATGTTGATTTTTATTGCTTCAATATTCACACATCTCTGTTAGGAATAGTCACTATCACTTATCTAAATCTGAAAGAATGCGAGATTGTTTTAATTTGTAGCCCTAAATACGAGTTATGTTTTGAAAAATCACTGATATAAAATGTATATACATGTATCAATATTTGTGAGAAAGTTCACAGAAGATGCATGTTCTGGTTCGAACTAGGCATTAAGTGCCACATTATACAAACTTGTTTATAGGTTGCTTATACAATTGTGTTGTTTTACATATTTAAAGGGTCTATGAACTTTGGAAGTGATATAAACCAATTCTTATCAGTAATATTTTCTTTACACCACATTTATTTAGTAATAGCTCATATAAATTTTGAATGTTTCCCCTACATAACCTTTGGAAGTAAGTTAAAAATTTGCTGGTAAATTCCTAAATCTAAGTTTATTACTTTTTTTTGGAAATAATTTTCAATGGATCATATTCTCTGACAAACCAACTGAAGTGAGAGGTATCGGTACGAATAATACTAATATATTTTATGAATATAGAAATTAAGCAAATATCCGCAGTTATGGAATTTTTTGTTCTTTATTTTTTCTTCTTCAAATCCTTGATCATGGCATGTCTTTAATGACGTTGTACTGCTCACAAAATGAACATGAAGCAGTAGATGTGCAATAATGCTTATTTAATAAACATTTTTCTATTTATCCATTACTTTACTGCTGTTTCTTTTAAATCTGCATGAATAGGAATTTGATTTTTTGCATTCACCATGTTTCATGTTTCGGAGATTAAAACTATAACCACTGTTTTCTAAATTTTATTGTTTTGTTATTTACATGTTTTGTCAATTTAATGTGTACTTGTATATTTTTTTTAGATATTCTTTACTTTTCAATTGCTTGTGGCTTGGTTCTATATTTCATCACTATTTGTGGCATCAAAAAGAGCTTTAATGATATTTTAAAATAGTCTTATGACTGTAAAAGAGTAGGGACTGCCTAAGAACACATTTAATTAAAAATTTTAATTTAACCACCTCTATTATTGAGCACCACAAAACGATTCTTATACCTTGCTCTAAGGTAAGAATGGCTGAACAACTAAGGCAAGAATGCACTAAATTAAACCCACTTCTTCATTTTAACTTACTTTTAACCAGCTAAAAATTACTTTTTGTGTATTATTTAATGGATTCCACATTTAAAGCCATATGTAGATATGAACACCTTTGCTTTATTTTAAAACTGCTAATCACCATATAAGGCCTGATCCTTGGTGCTAATATTGTGCTAAGCTTGCATATTGTTGCTGCACAGTATTGCATTTAGTGTGTAAAGAATTGAATTGCGATTTTATTTTTGAAAAGAAATAAGAGATAGTTTATTATACAATATTCTTGTGTTGTGAATGAAATTTTTTTATTTATTTCATCCAAGTATTGATTTCTTATATTCTATAACAAGACCTTTCCAATTAGCAAATCAATAATGGTACTGTACACAAAGTCAGAAATGGACATTTACTGATGTTTGGAAATAACTATTGTTTGTTCTATGTACCTTGACTTTGTACCTATATCTTTCACTCATTCCTTGGTTTGGAATTATTTTTTACAGTTCCTATAAGTTGGACATTGCTCACACCACCCCCTTCACTTTATGTAAAAAAAAAAAGAAAGTTTTTCAGCATACAGCCTGAATTTATATGTCACCAGCATTAAATATATTTATCAGGCCACTTAAACAAAATCATGTATATTAAGAATACTGATAAAGTCTATAAGTTTGCTAATCATTTTTAGGAAATTTAAATATGAAACGGATATAGTATAGTTGGGGAAAAACTGTGCCCATATGCTAAATACGGTACTGTGATCATGGCACAAGGTTAAATGTAAAACTTTGAATGCTGATTATTCAATATTCCATCCACTGCTAGGGAGCTACAGCCCATGTAGGATTTTGGTCTGCTTCACCACTTCCTTCCAGTCAGGCAATCCATCCCTGTGGCGGTACAGCCCAAGTAGGGCTTATGGCCTGCCTCACCTCTTCTTTCCACTCAGACCATCCATACATCACTGTGGCACTACAGCCCATGAGGGGCTTTGGTCTGCCTCACCACTTCCTTCCACTTAGACCTAACTGATATTTTTCTTTGCCATGCATGGTTTCCCATCTGGTGTAGATTTTTTTCGACATCACCCATCCATCTAAGCCTAGTTCTGCCTTTAAGCTGCTTTCCTCTGGTGCTTTGGTGGTGCACCCTCTTTACTCCTTTGTCATTTGGCATTCTTTCTAAGTCTCTCTATTCCCCCATCCCCCAGCTTAGCATATGATCTATACAATTCATGGTTGGTTCGTATTCTCCTTCCATATTCATCCTTTTTTGGTCCTTATATTTTCTGGAAACCTTTTCTCTCCTATGTGTTTAATAGGTTTTCTGCCGTTTACGTTATGGTCCAAGCTTCTTAGAATTCTTAAATCTACCATGCATTAATGAGAGGACAAGACATAAAATATTAGTTTTTTATAGTGTCTATTAATCTAAATCTAGTTCATATTAAATACAATTTTGTTCTGGATGTAATTACATGCTAAATGTCAAAGAAGTTGTCATTGAAATGGGATATTTTTACTTTCATTTCTAATAAAATATTTACAGGATATATATATTATTTTAGTTTGGATATGATTTTTTCTGGTGTCAGTATGCTTTTTGAATTTGTAGCATTATTTTATTTCAGTTTTTTAATTGGAAATAATAATATTAATAAGGTTTTTCAATGTTGGGCTAGACAAATTATGTTAATGCTTAAGAAAATTCATATAATTCTTTTTATTTGATTTATTCCTAGCTTTGAATAACTAAAATTTATCAGATTAATACAAATTTATTATGTAATGTTTTCCAAAATACCCAGAACCTTTTTTTTAAAATTTTATTGTGAGCTAAATAAAAACATATTTTTGCCAACTATGAAAGGGTTAAGTAAACCAGTTTTGTTTCATTAGCAATATAAATACTGTAGGCTCTGTTGATTGCCGCGGTCCAAACATTAAGATATTTCTCTTATACTACAATGCATTTCTTTGATCCCCCGAAATTTAATGAAGTTGCTAAGCTGTAATACAGCTATGCTAAGCTGTAATACAGCTAGATTGTCTTAGTTTTATAAAATAAATTATTAGTTTCTATAAAATATGAAACATTGAATATAAACTTGCATTTCCTATTTAATTTCTTCCCTGACTTTGCGCCTGGCTAAAAATAAATTCTGGGAAATAATACCAACAATCCATCTGATTATCGCACGATTATGTCTAAGCAATAAAAATAAAATCCACTTGTATAGTATTTTTTTAAATTGAAGTTTCCATTTTTTTAGCATGTTTTATTTTTAAATCTCCATACTTTTTCTTTTACACAATTATTGTGTGAACTATATGTTTTTATTTGTAAAAAAGATGACATAATATAACTTACTAGCCACATTCATAAAGCTAATTCTTTAAAAGAGGGAAATTTTTAAAAATTTTGATACAAATTTATTTTATTTTTTAAACTGAGTTGGCTATAACAAGTTCTATAAAAAGTCAGTTTCGTAAAATATTTAAAAAAAAATTAAATTCATTACAATTATGAATGGGACTCTCGACAAAAAAAATCACTTTTGAAGTCTGATTAATCACTGCACTCAGTAATTATAGAAACATGTAAAAGATTTGATTAATTAATTGTCTATTGGTAATTAATAGAATTTTCATTTCAACTTTTTTTTTCATAAACTACTTCCTACTTTAATGAATCTACTTTAAATGTAGAAATTTAGAAAAAAATGTAGAAAACTGTTTGATAATATTATGAAACCGTCTCACTTCAAAGCACAACCAACTTGGGTGATAGGTTTGAGATTACTTGTTTTACCGTGAATACAAATACTCATCTATCTAAACTTATTTAAATATTTACACGACTGTGTTAATTATTTAGAGTTTCTAAAATGGAATATTTTTTTTATTGTCAAGGTTCATTATTGCTCATGAAGATTTTTTTTTTAAAAAAGATAAACCTTCTTTTTAGAAGTACTCCCTGCTAAAAATGATCTTGTATTCTTCTGAATCCCCAACGACAGAAGAAGTTTATAAGTTAAGTGTGAACATTTTGTGTTAGAAATTGTTACTTTAAAAATGTGTAACTGCTCAAATAAACAATATAGCCATGCATGTACATTTATTTTCATGTTAACTTACCAAAACGTTTGTTACGAGTTGCATTATCAGTAGCTTAACAGAATGGACTCCCCTGATAATAATGATATCATTGAAACCACTGTCCTCTGCTTGCTTGTTAGCAGCCCGAAAAACTATGCCAAATTATTTCGATTTTTGTTTTTGCTTGTTTGACATTTTGTTTGATTAATTTTAGCATCTGTACAGTTTTGTCTAATGCCCAGCTCTGCTGAGTGAAACCTACAATGTACTAATGCAATTTCCCACTCTGCTGAGTGAAACCTACAATGTAATAATGCACTCATTAACATGACCAATAATTAAACTGTATTCATTCACCACTGACTTTACTTTCGTATCTTATTTTACTTAACAATAAATGCATTGTCAAAATTGCAGGAACCTATAGCAATGTAAACCTTTAGAAATCTGACTAAATATCTGTTATGGATATTAATACATGTACATCTCAGAACATGTCGCCTGACTTTCTGCCCTGGCATGTTTATCATGTCCAGTCTCAATTGACTTATGGGGGTCGTCCAATCAGAAAAAGCAAAAAGAGTAGTTTATATTGATTATTTTAATATTCTTCTTATTTATTATTCTTTTTGTGCAAGGTATTTTTTGTAAACATAGTCTAATATTATTGTCCAAATTAAACATAATTTGATTTTAAAAATTACTGTTTAAGATATAGTTCCTAAACATAATTTTGATGGATCTTTGGTCTTCATCAATCCATGTAATTTTTATTTTAAGCTCTATTTAATATACCTTATTTTTTTATTTTTTATGTAAAACAAAATTAGTTTCAAAACATGCACCAATTAATTTCTAGACTTATTCAGGTCTAATCAGAAGTTAGACCAATTCAGTTCAGTACTGTATAATTACTAAATAACTGCTTGCAGCTCTATTTTAGCAATCTGATTTTTACTACCTTGCTAGACCATATTTATTGATAGAATATCTAACAATATCAACATTATTATCAATATTTCAATGTAGACATTTAGATAGTTAGGACACAGATGTTTCAATGGCATGTGTATGTAAAATTGTAGGTGGTATGTTCAATGCACACTGACAGTATTTCACTAGCAATGTGACCCTGATTATGGCTGACAGTTGTAAACAAAGAGAATATCATTCATTGAATTGGACTTGATTGATCTTTAGCATTGAATGTCTTTGTACACATTGGTAATGTTGTGTTAAGTCATTTGTTTAAACTAAGTTGCTATCTAAAAGGGGGCATGGAAAATGTGGTGTGTTCAATGTTAAAACGGGGTTGGGTAAGTATGTGGGGTGTTCAAGGTTCAAAAGAGGTGTGGTAAGTGTGTGGGGTGTTCAATGTTCAAAAGAGGTGTGGTAAGTATATGTGTAGTGTTCAAAGTTTAAAAGGGGTGTTTGGGGTGTTCAAGGTTTAAAAGGGGTGTTCAAGGTTTAAAAGGGGTGTTTGGGGTGTTCAAGGTTCAAAAGGGGTGTGGTAGGTGTGTTGGGTGCTCAAGGTTTAAAAGGGGCGTGTGGGGTGCTCAAGGTTTAAAAGGGGCGTGTGGGGTGCTCAAGGTTTAAAAGGGGTGTGTGGGGTGCTCAAGGTTTAAAAGGGGTGTGTGGGGTGCTCAAGGTTTAAAAGGGGTGTGTGGGGTGCTCAGGGGTTAAAAGGGGTGTGTGGGGTGCTCAAGGTTTAAAAGGGGTGTGTGGGGTGCTCAAGGTTTAAAAGGGGTGTGTGGGGTGCTCAAGGTTTAAAAGGGGTNGGTGTGGTAAATGTGTGGGGTGTTCAAGATTTACAACGGGATTTGGTAAGTGTGCGGGGTGCTCGAGGTTTCATAGGGGTGTGCGGGGTGCTCAAGGTTTAAAAGGGGTGTGCGGGGTGCTCGAGGTTTCATAGGGGTGTGCGGGGTGCTCGAGGTTTAAAAGGGGTGTGCGGGGTGCTCGAGGATTAAAAGGGGTGTGTGGGGTGCCACAGGTTTAAAAGGGGTGGTGGGGTGCTCGAGGTTTCATAGTTATATAATAACAGAAAAGTGACTTTCCTTACATTGAGATCACCTCCTTCTACTCCCCTCCCCTTGATAGCGCTGACATTTCGTTAAGGCAAAACAAGGACACATTTGACGGAAAGTCTGGCAACACATCTGAGTTCGGTGAATGCCTTCCACCAAGTAACGCCACCTGTTGCAATACTTAGTAACAATTTTTGAGCGAGTTACCTGTCGTGTCGTCGTGGTAACTGGTGTAAAAAAAAAAAAATTAAAAAACAAACCATGAAACAAAAAAGAAAACCGACCTCCCCCCCCCCCCCCTTCCTTTTCACCCACTGGTTGGCATCACGTGCGATGAAAGGGTATGATTCCTGGGATGGAAAATTTCAGTTCTATCTCATCCTCAGAGGAAGAATTTACTAATGGTTCTCTGCCACATTCCGTATCTTTAAGTATTACGCGTAACTGATTCAGGTGTCGTCCAGGTACAAAAGACACACGAAGTCTCTGAGGCATCTGTTTCCCAAACCAGCTTCAGAAACCCACTGGGCATACGGCACACGGTGTCTGAGAGTGCAGCTCTGGTGCAGTTTCCTTAGCTTATTCCGACAGATGTCTCTCAGTTGAAGCGGTCTGTTGTAGAAATACATAAGCAGCCGGGCCAGAGAGTTATCATCTCGGAACCTCATGGGCACGTCACTGCTGGAGACATTAGGGTCACGAATTCGTTTTATCCAATGATCCCCGGTCACGTCGTAGCCAGCCTGGAGCAACAGAGAAATGATGGCCAGACTTTTCGCTCTCGTTTTCACATTCATAGCCATCTCAGCCGCCACCCACAGCAACGAACGCCTGTGTCCCGGGTAAATCTTTTTGATCTCCCCTTCTTCCATGCTGTCGGTTGGCGTGAGGAATAAATGCGTGCCCTCGCAGCGGATTCCCATGTCAGCATTGTTCTGGAGCAGCACAAGAACGGAATCTCGACTTGAGCGGTAGACGGCGTTCCACAAGGCCGTGCTGCCGTGTCGGCTTCGGCTGTTGACATCCGCCCCGTAGGCGATCATCTCGGAGACGAGCGCGTCCTGGTCCCTCCAAGCCGCGAACATGAGCGCCGTGTCGTCGTCTTCGTCCCTCGAGTTGATGTCTGAATACGGGAGGATGAACTCCGAGAACTTGCCGTGGTTGAACGCTATCGAAAAAGTCAGTGCCGTGTTGCCGTCACGTGACTTTTGCTTCCCGTCGGCCCCCAGCAGCAGTAGCATCTTGGCGGCCTTCTTGTTACCGTCCATGGCGGCAAAATGTAAGGCCGAGAAACCGTCACGGTCAAGGATTTTAAGAGCGTCTTTCCTTGATGGAACGCCACATATCGTAGACACAATAAGATTCATGACACTTTCTGCGTGTGTACCAACACCTGCAGTGCACGCTACACAATACAGCAAGTTAGGAAGCTCTTGTAAGAGGTAGACCTTGTGTTGACGTTTGAAAGCTTTGCAGGTTAGTATGTTTTCGACGATGGCCAGTGAGCCTGTTTCGAGCAAACATGAAATGGAGTTAAATCAAACAACCCTTAAAACAACGGTTTCCGTATAAATACTTTTCATGTATTTTTAATTATGTAAAAAAAGGAGAAAGGGGGGGGGGGGGGGGGGTTAGAACATTTGATAGAATGTGTCGTCATCAGCAAAGAGTGAATGTGCCAAGTTTAAGCTCGATAGGTTGACGGGAATTAGGTCAATTCGCCGACCGAATGATTTGCCAGCCGGCCACGAACAAATGCGAAGTTAATATAAAGGATTTGAAAAAGAAACAGAAATGTATATTATTTTTAATGTCGTCATTTTAACAGCCCAATGAGGTACGCCAAACGAAGACGAACACGTATTTATTACACTTTAAATGAGACGCATATGATAAGGTTTGAATGAAAAGGATGACAGCTAATTGTGAATCGGGGCATATCTTCAATTCATCTATTCCTAAAGGGGTCGAATGGCAGCTCTGAGCACCATATCCTACTCTGAAATACTCTTAATTCAAGGTGACCCCCCCAAGGGCAATAAGGCCTGATCGGGGGTTTGGGGGGGGGGGGTAAAGGTCCAGTGACGGGACGCACCCATGCGCAAAACCTTACAATCAATTCACCCCTCACCTCGCTGTTTAGCTATTTTTATGTGGCTAGTCTTGAACATGACGCCATCGGTCCAGTGACGGGACGCACCCATGCGCAAAACCTTACAATCAATTCACCCCTCACCTCGCTGTTTAGCTATTTTTATGTGGCTAGTCTTGAACATGACGCCATCGGTTACCTTTCGAAATTGCCTTCTCTGCTGCCGCCAGACACATGTCCTGAATGTCCGTGGTGATATCACCAAGATCGGCCAAGGCTGCCAGAGTTTCTTTTTGAGAGCCCCTCTCCACGGCAAGGAACAGTTTCTCCATGCACTAATAACTGACTTTAATCTGATTTATGATTAATAGTCGCGGCTCTCAAATAGGTGGAGGTGGCCTCCATGCGGAGTTACAGATGAATAGAAGTGTTTGTGTGTCAATCAATTGGAAACTCAGCAGTAGCGGCAAGTATAGCCTATCTATGTGATATTCTGCTCCTAAAGAAAAGGACGATTTTTTTTTACAACAAATAGATTTATATAATAAGAAATACAAAAGTTTCTGGAATATAGATGATTTTTACAAAATCTCAATAAATAGAGAAATATGGATAATATTTATTCATAAAAGTGGTTTATAAAAACGCAGGGGAGGATCCAGCTAAGCTGAAAGAGGGAATCGCAGAATGCTAGACTTATATAATGTGTGGGGCAGAGTGGTAAAAATAGTTTTCACGCAAACATTCTTATTGAAAAGTGAATCGTTCCAGTGACACCATAACTGAACTTAGAAGGCAGAGTTCCTTAACCAGGCTGCTCTCACCCCCAGGGGTGTGGGAGGCAAAGTCGGAGACTGCGGTAAGACCCTGAAAATTACGATTATTTGCATTTTTAAATTAACATTTTGTTAAAAATCAGGCTGGTGCAGGAAGTGTTTTGAAATCAAGAGAGTGTGCAGGAAGTGTTTTGAAATCAAGAGAGTGTGCAGGAAGTGTTTTGAAATCAAGAGAGTGTGCAGGAAGTGTTTTGAAATCAAGAGAGTGTGCAGGAAGTGTTTTGAAATCAAGAGAGTGTGCAGGAAGTGTTTTGAAATTAAGAGAGGGTGCAGGAAGTGTTTTGAAATTAAAAATACTAGCCTACTTATATAGTACTAAACATAAAACCCTACCTATATTATTACTAATCATAATATCCTACCTATAAAGTACTAGATCTAACCATAGTACGTAATTTTTCAGAATGGTGTCACACCTGAAATGGTGTCACCCGGTGCGGTCCGCACCCCCCTAGCAAAGCCACTGGTCTACCTACATAATACTTAACATAATAGCCTACCTAAATAATACTAAACATAAACTGGCTTCTTTTCTAAAATGTCTGCACTCACTGATCGGCTTAATAATCTTTTAGTGTTTCCGTTGGATTACACACATCCACCCGTAAAGCAACCCATAGGACTAAACACTGACAGTGTCAACACACACGTTGACAGTGTCGACCTACCATGAGAGTGTCGACACACCATTTTAATTGAAATACAACTAACACACGCCAACTTTCCCCGTGTTCTTACTGGCACCAAGTTATCGACCCACACACAGTTTGGTGACAAATCTCATTCACCACTGTATTGATTTTTTTTTTTTTTCACAATTAAAAATATGTTGGTTACAGCCGCATAACCCCATAGACGACAACTGTCACATTAACCCCGGGGGAGGGGGGATATCTCTGATAGGCTATATAGATAGGGCTTTACCACACCCAAAGCTACCCGCCCTTTACCCCCACCCTTCACAACACACACAACACACAGACACACATTGCACACCCTCACCACTCACAGTTTTTCACACTACGGATACCCTCTGACAGTAGCCAACTTGGAAATATGCTATCGAAACTTATTCATATTATTATTATTTTTTTTTAAATTCAAAGTCTTCGCGAAAGAAGTATGCAGTGGCGTACCTTGACTAAATGCTGCACGGGGCGAACTTCCTAAAGTGCACCCTCATCACAACACACACTATTTATGCAATGTTATAAAGGCCAACACACAAATTCCAAGATTGTCAACCGGTCCGCTGACCCCTTACGCAAACATCCAGGCGCGCCCACTGAAAGCAGGTGTAAAGTGTGTACTAAATAAATGGCAACTCACTCATACTGCAATAAAAATCCACACTACAACTATTTTCGTCTGTATCGCCGCCGTCTACTTACAAGAGGAAGGCCCCGACCCTAGCCCCAACTTATCGGCTGCTCTTACAATGCTTGAGTTGTCTACTGAGTTCTTTTCTTTTCTTTGTTATATTTTCATTTCTATTGTTGGCTGAGGAAGGCTTTATGCCGAAACGTCCTTGTTTTTTGTCCTGTTACCTTATTTCAAGCTTCCACATACCTCGTTTCAATATTTCATTCATTTACATAGCTTGAAAGCAGTCTCTTCATTTATTTCTTACAATGCACACCAACGTAATAATCTTACATCCAATATTTAAAGAAACAAACCACAAAAAAAACCGAGTTATTGTTTTTAAAGGTCAACGCATTTTCTTTCACACAAACTTCTTATCTCAAACATTTGGACACAGATTAGCGTTATCGGTGCCGAATTAACAATAGTTGAGGCCCCTAACCCCCCCCCCCCCATGCAGTCGAAATTTTAACTTCCCCAGTAACGTAGCCGACTTAAAGGGGTGCGAAGGGGCTGCGCTTGGAGATTATAACATTAAAAATAAATCGGCGTGTGTTTTAGGTGGCACACTTTTTGGGGGAATTCTCCCCGTGCAGTGTTTTTGTTACAGTACACACACAATGCCCCCCAATCCCCGTGAAATATCTATAGGGCCTATCCTTCACTTTGAGTTCGAGTCAAGCTTTTGTTAAAATCACATACTGTAACTGAGATATGAAAAAAGTCTTTAAAAAAAAAATCTCGTTGTTGGTTACTTTTCACTGAACCAATCAACTGACACTGCAGTTAATATTCGATTCATCCCTGCTGTCATCCAAAGGCGACAATCTCTCCAAAATCCTTTCTTTGACTTTGCTGATGACCCGGTACCGTCTATCATAGAGTGGATTTCTCTTATTGCTTTTTCTTTTCTCACCCATTCCTCACAAATTAGTAATTTTATGACTTGTTATTAATGGAGATGTCAAAGATGCACATCACCAGCATACATTACGGCATTATAAGCAGGGATTTGGAGCATAGCTCGGAGCTGGAGCTCTGCAGGCGGAGCTCTGGAGCAGAGTCTTTTGGAATGAAGCTGAAGCTTGTAAAGTTTCTTACTGCTGCGAACTCCAAAATTTATAAAATTAGCAATAAATATATAGAACTCGAAAATTTTAACTTAAAAAATAATGTATTAAAATGAAGCCCCATTCTAAGTCGTTCTTCTACAACCTATGTTGCCCCACTCTTTTACCACTATGGCTATGTTGCCGCACTCATTTACGGCTATGTTGCCATACTCTTCTACCTTCTGGGGGTAATAAGGGGAGAGACTGCAATCAGGTTAGTACAAAATAAAATGAGTAAAACAGAGTAGGGTTAAACCTGAAAAAATAAACGCAACAAAACAGCAAACGTGTAGGCAGAAAGCCTTCGTCAGCGAACAAAACAACAGAAAAAACGTTATAAAAATAAGAAATAGCACTTAGCTGGTAAGTAGTATCTGTGGGCAGCAATAGAAGTGTGCACACTTCTATTGCTGCCCACAGATACTACTTACCAGCTAAGTGCTATTTCTTATTTTTATAACGTTTTTTCTGTTGTTTTGTTCGCTGACGAAGGCTTTCTGCCGACACGTTCGCTGTTTTGTTGTATTTATTTTTTCAGGTTTAACCTTACTCTGTTTTACTCATTTTATTTTCTTCTACCTTCTATGTTGCCCCAACCTTCTACCAGCTATATTGCCCCAATCATTTACAGCAATGTCGTTGGTAGGCCTACATACATTTCTTGTCTAGTTAGCAAGATGTTCAATAATAGACACATTTCTTCAAACACTTAGCACCCCCTGCCCTAACCATCCCCCAACAATTAAAAAATAATAATTCTGGAGTCTGGAGGGAAGCATAGCTTACAATTTGTGTGTTATACTGGGTAATCCCTTATTTAAGAGCGATTATTTAGTGCTAGTGAAATAAATTAAAAACTAAAATTAAATAAGAATTGTACCGGTATTAAAATCAGTAGACTATTTAGTCGAAAGCGGTTTAGTCCGATTTTTTACAAAATCGCAAT